AGTTGATTCACTGAAAACTTGGATAGACAGGAGGTAGCTTCACACTCTAGACTATTATAGTTATAAAATTGAAGCTAATAATATGAGTCACTCAGATTAAACAGTAAAATTAAAAACATCATAGAAAAAAAACCTTAAAATTTGTTTTGCCTTTGTCAAAAAAATATGTAAAAAATAATTTTGACTAATTGATTTGGCTTAATAAGAGCAGCTTAGTTAGCTATATGTATGAAGTAGGACATATATCTATATATAATATAATATATATTATATTATATATAAAGGGTAAGGACCAAAACTCTGAAAATGAAAATCCTGTCAATGATCAATTTACATAAGAATCAGAAGCCATCACATTTGATGTGACACGTCTTTACTTGTTGAATAGACTGCCACTTGTATACACTTAGGACATTTCTGTTTGTTTTTTTTTTCATTTTAACCTTAACAAGGGAGCAGTGGTGTCTCTCCCCCAATACAGTCTTTCCTAAACCGAGGTAAAAAAGATTAGAGCAAAATCTGAAGCAGTGCCAACTTACTACGAGTGGTATAATTGGCCTCAGGGGTAGTTTTTGGACCTGAAACCCTCCATTCTCTTCCCTCATGACTAATTCACAAGACCTTGATTTTTCCTTTGGCATCTGAGGATATAGCCTTCAAGCTGCGCAAATGTTTGTATGGGTTTAAGTTTACAGCCGGTTTAGTTCTAGGAGATTTTCAAAGAGGGACCTCAGTTATCCTTTGCGAGTTTTGATGTAGTCAGTGTTGTGCATTATCTTTCTCTTTCTTCATTGAGAGCTGGCTGCAGTAGGTTAAATAAAACCATATGCCATGATTTCTTGGAAATAGATGGGTTAGTAAGGTCAGCCTTCTTGAACATTCAATTGCTTCTCTTTCCATCATCAGTTAACTAATCATTAAGGTGAAAAGCACAGAAAAACTATTCCATAACAGTTATGGGAGTAAATATTTGCCTTAAGTTATTTACAAACCTATCAAAGTCATTGAAGAGAGTTTCGTCTGAAATGGCACAGAGCGGAGTTTGGTTGATATTGAGTTATGAAAAATGCAGGAGAGACTTTTACTGTAGATTTATTCTGCTGTCAGGTAAGGAAAAAAAAAAGTTTGCGAGTATCCGTGTGTGTGTGTGTGCTAGTAAATTTAAAGGTGTGTGTGTGTACTGTGTGTATATTTTCCTGTGCATTTCTATCCATGTGTGACCATACTGTAGGTGTGTATCGCCGTAGCCTTCTTCCCAGTCAATAGACACACTGTCACACACTGGCAAGTAATTGACAGCTTGGAGTTTGCGTTGACACAGGACTTGCATATATTTTCTCCATTACCATTCGTATACGTCAGCCTGAAGTTCTCCTTGGCAGTGCTTTCAGAAGTCATCTTGCTTGGCAGAGGATTAAACAAACACCCTCTATTCTACCTTTTGGGAGGAAGTGATAAACTCTCTCACCCTAAGTAAGCCAAATAGCTAAAGAAAAAAACACTTTCCATTTCTCATTGCTGTGGTGTGTACAGAAAAAGAAAACAGTTGCAGCATTTGTTCTTGTACCGCTTTTGTATGTTGGCAAAACAAAATGTAAAGACATGGAGAAATAGTGTTTTATTTTTCTGCTAATAATAAATAACAGCTTATAACGGTGGATTTAACATGAATTATTGTAAATGGTGGCGATGCGGCCAGACGTGCAGACATACGTGTTTCATGTAGCAAACGTTTATTTACTGAGATTTTGTCCACTGTTGAATAATTGTGGGCCGAGGAATTTGAAAAAAAGTACTTGCAACATTTACAATAAGGATGCATTTGTTGTCAAATCAACACGTTAAATAAATATGCCAGAAACATGTTCTCTCACAAGAAGAAAAAAAAAAAAAAAGAAAGAAAGCCACAATTTAAGTGCTAGCTTTGAAATGATTTACACCTATGGTGGGAACAAAAGCTGTGTAAGATGTGATAATTTATTGATCTGTTTAAACAAAAAAAAAAAAATCATAAACAGATGTTGTTTCCAACATTTTCAGGCATATGTCTTCTGTAAGAGGGAAAGTTATAAATCCTCAGAGACAAACCTGTAACAAGCTAGAGAACAAAATGCAAAATTAAAGAAAACTCCAAAACTCAAACTTTCAGCAAATATAAGCTGTAAACTACATATTGTGTATTTTCTTCCCCATAGTGGAATGCCATCCATCCATTTTCTTTGCACCCTTGTCCCTCAATGGGGTCGGGAGGGTTGCTGGTGCCTGTCTCCAGCTATCGTTCCGGGTGAGAGGCGGGGTCACCCTGGACAGACTGTCGCAGGGCAACACAGAGACACACAAGACAAAACCATGCACACACACTCACACCTAGGGGCAATTTGGAGAGGCCAATTAACCTGACAGTCATGTTTTTGGATTGTGGGAGGAAACCGGAGTACCCGGAGAAAACCCACGCATGCACAGGGAGAACATGCAAACTCCATGGAGAAAGACTGGGGCCGGGAATCGAACCCAGAACCTTCTTGCTGCAAGGCAACTACCACCTGCGCCATTGTGCACCCCATAATGGAATGCTTTATGTGGAATTATAAAGTTGTTTCTAAATTCTCAAGCATAGAAAATTAAGTTAAGGAATGTGGTGTGAAGGAGGGTAGCTTAAATGCTACCTTGTGAAAATACAGTTACACCAAAATCGGTCAAATTAATTAGCCACCACCTTTAATTACGTGAAACTAAAGTAACAATTGTTTAATTTTCTGCCTTTGTCGTTCAAAAAATGGATAATTACAGGCGGAAATATTAGACAGTGACATTTTGCTGAAGTCTCAGTAAGAATAAGCAAATTTACTTGTATGCATTTTCAAAGAGGGAGTCGCCAGTCGCAGAAAGTTATGCTGCACTTTGTCTTCCCCTCGCTTCTCTTTACTGGGTTCCTGCTCTCCTACAAATCGTTAGTTTCACTTTTCATTAGGCTGAATCAATAAGGCGGATCAGTGGCTGATGGTTTGGACTGCGTGGCAGACGCCCCGCTCGGTCTCCCCTTCTCTTTTTTTTCTTTCTTTCTCTTGTTCTCTTTGCTCCTTCTTGGACTCCAGCTATTTCCTCTGCAACCATTCAGTCGAGGAGAATGTATGAGGCAGCGGGAAGCTTGAAGGGACTAACAAAGAGGGATGAGCCTAAAAGTGCTACCCAGTAAGACAGAAATGACAACCCTCAGTGGTAAACCACTAAAGAAAAATTAAGACTAGGTGAGCTCTCAAGCTAAAACTGATTTTGAAAATGACGGCGTGAGACGAGGAAATTAGAATGAAACTGTACAAATAGAGCCAAAAGTCCATGCAAATGTTTCACTCTTATCTGATTCTTTTATCTACAGCATTTTGTTTTATAAAGATTCACTTAGGGTATTTAAAAATGCCAGTCATCATAATATATATAAAAAAATAAAAAACAAAATGATTACATGCTTGTTTTTTTTTTTTGTTTGTTTGTTTGTTTTCCCCACCTCAACAATTGTCTTTGTTTTTTTTGCTTAATCTTGTAATCTTGTAAACTCAAATTGCCCCCAGGAGACTTGTTCTTGGTTTGGTCATGGGCAGTCATGTACATCTAGGGAAGTATTGTGGTGTATCTTGGAGGTGGCTGCATTGGTGGCACTTCTCTGGTCTACCATGGTGAATAACCCAATGAACCAAAAAGCATAGCTCTCCATTTACAGATCCGTCTATGTTGTAATCTTGACCTTTGCTCAAAGCATATGGATCATGAATGAGACCCTGAATGCAGGTGGTTGAAACGAGCTTCCTCTAGGGTGGCTGTGCTCTGTCTCAGAGCTTAATTGAAGAGCTCTGTTATCCAGTGGGATCCCCGAGTTTAGACCTTGCTCCACCTAGGTACCTCCCAAGGCTTCCCAGGCATGTTCCGCTGGGAGGAGACCATGGGGCAGATCCAAATCTCACTAGAGGGACTCTAAGGACTTTTTGACAGAATGAACTTTTCCCAGGAGCCAGAGTAGTTTTCCAAGGCCATTATTTACACTGTCTGTTTACACTGCATTTACCAGGGTACAGGCCTAATACCTGGACAGACATTTAAACCAGAAAAGGTACTAGCACAGAAGAATTTTATTTTATTTTTCTATTTTTCCTGAACTACTGTTCACAGTTGTGTGGAGAGGGGAGCAATTATGCTTATTTGGAGCACGTCATGCAAGCTTAAATTATATAAAAAAAAATTCTAGGTGCTGCAAACTCGCAAACTTTACATGACTAAGAAGTGTCTTTAAATGTGTTTGGTCTTCAGAAGTGAAATTACTGTAAAAGAACCACAAGTGATTGTTCTAGTGTTAATAATGATTAGAGCCCTTCTATTTTATTCTCCTCTACAACAACTCTCTGATCTGAAATCGTTTCAAAATGATTTCAGATCCCTAACCTTTCAACTACACAAATCACTCATTGTAGATTATATAGAGTACATAGTGTAAGCACTGTGACCAAACCATTGTTTTTATTCTTATTTCTAAAAATTTTATCAATTTCATGATACCTACAGGTACATGACACCTACTTATGTCTAGGCTGAACAAAAAAAAAAAAGCAAAGGTCTAATAGTGACAGGAGGAAATGTACATTTAAGTAGCCAGGGTAAAGTTGAAATGGGGAAAAACTGACCCTCTATTTATTCCTTCTGGCTTAGGAATGCTTTCTCTTTAGCTCTTCCCAAAAGAGCTAAAGAGAGATGTCTGAGGGTCTTCTTCTTGGAATGGGTACTCCATAAACTTGATCTTGGACTAACAGAAGACAAGGGATGGCTGTATTGTGTTTCTGTCCTGAATAATAGTTTTTTTGTTTTTCTAATAACCCTAGAGAAGTATTTTTGGTACCACAAAACGTTGAAATCTCTACAAAAACATGAGCTTGCTCAGCTGTGGCTGGATGGTGGCTGGCTCTTCCACAGCTGTATTGTTTGATGGCTGTGTGTACTTAGTTCTGACTTACCATGCACAGTGAGCCGGGCAGGACGGGACCTCATGGCTGCCTGGACAGCCTGGCACTCAAAAACTGCATCGTCCATTAGCTCGACACGCTGGATGCGCAAATGATGCTGCCCTGAGCCATGGTCGCCAATCACTGTGTAACGTGGATAGCCTGCAATGTAAACAGTTTGTTTATTTTATCTCACCTTCAGTGTCAAAGTACAGTTCATCTGCCAAAACCAAGTGAGTACATTCCTGTAAAAAAAAAAGTTCTTACTTCTTATTCTCATGCATCAAAAGAACAACTCTTTTGCAAACTGTCTTACACAGCACTGGCACAAGCACATTAACTGAGCTGAAAAAGAAAATAATTTAAAGGGAGGTGAGGTTAGATTACTTTATTAGTTTATGTGGCTAGATTGTTCATTTGTTAATTTACTCACAATGCATTTTTACAACACTCCTGGCAGTGTAAATGAGCTGCTGTGAAAGTTGCTGTATGCTGAGGAACCGTGTTTTACTGCAACAGTAAACAGGAGCAGCTCCGGTTCGAGTTGTTTCAAGATTACTCCGTGAAATGATTTACAGTTTAATAAGAGCAGAAGAAAGCAGAGGAATATCCAGGAGACCTAGGATGTCAAGACAGATGGTTTTGAAGATATCCCTCTTAAGCTAATATAAAAATTTGCATAGCCCATGTGTTGTGAAGTGTATGTCTCCACAGGGGCAAATAAGCTAAAATATACATTTGTTTAACCTGTGAGCACTGGGGGGTGGGGGGGTATGTAACATGGCTTCGGAAACTTTCTTCTCTCAAGATCCCTTTTCTATTTCTTTTTTTACCTAGCTTCTTCATCCTGATTATTATGGGTAGAATTTGTGGAACGCAAGGAGACTTTATGTTCATAAATATTGCACTTCAAAGAATGAGAAGAATTTCCAACTGAGTGGAGCTTTTTCTTCCAGCTGTCCTTCTGTAATTGAATGATGATGAAACCAGAGATTGGAGTGAAGATTTTTTTTTTTTTTTTTCTGGAACACAAGGCCAGGCTGCACACAAAGTTTCAACCAAACTTTACGCTATATTCCGCGAAACAAAACTTCAGACTTTAGACTCACTTCCTTCTCGCTCATCAATCACACCTAAAAGAAATCTGCTAGTTTCTACCTCGGCGTGTAAGGTTAGACTGATACTTAAGGGCAACAAATAATAAGGGGGTAAAAAATGATTTCTCCAAAACTTCTAACCTACAGTCACCTTGGAGATTCCTCAAAACCCCGGGCCTTTACTGATTTTCTGTTTTAGCTCCCAGATAGAGTGGGCAGTGGTATAACAGCTATTAAGTTCATGGATGTGTCTACGGCAAAACCCATCATATGCTCTGTGTCCAATTACTGAATTCGGCTTCATTGAATCCAGCAGCTTTTAATAGAGCATGAAGTGGGTCTCATTATAGGCTGGTGGGGTGAGTTACAGCCGATTAAGCCACTCTGTGCATTTCATCCTCCTACGTGAAGCCTTTAATCTTAAGGGTCTATACAGTAAAAATACGAAGGACAAAAGAACGCCTCAACACAAATATTAAACCAAGGGAGAAGGTAAACAGAGGAAGGCAAAATATAAGCAGCAGCATTAGATCGAGGATCTGCTGCATGATGTTTTGCTAAGAAATAGAACCAGATGATGTCATCTTTCTATGACTTTACTTTTACTTGTTACATTGAAGAAGGCTTTAACCTAAACAAAACTAAATCATAAAGTACTAAAAATCTCAGTAAGGATTAGTCAATGACTGTTTTTAATTGTATCAAAATAATGCTTTTAAAATCTATACTTTCAAAACTGCAAACCTTGTGCGTTTTTGTGATTACAAGCCAGACATGGTGGCTCTGCTGGTCAGTGTGCAGCAACTGACCAACGGGGCTGCATTTGTCCCACTTAACAACAGCGACAATTTCTACTTTTGGAAATACTGTTAGTCACAGTTATGGTGTGGAAAACTAACGTAGGTTCAACCCTAACTTTTCTATAGTTCAAACTTTGATGCACGCTAGCAATTTAGTAATTTAGTAATTTAAAACCAGTCCACGTGGGGACACAACATTTCTCATTAACCATCTACACTTTTACAAGAACCCATTAACCGTTAACTTTGGTCCTGGTTTTTTCATGTGTTACAAAACTGCAGCTATGGTGAACAAAACTCTCAGCTACACCAATCCAGCTGATCAGCTGCAACTCGTCTACCGAGAGGGGAGTAAACATACACATTTTGAATAAAATATAATAAACTTATTTGTTCTTTTGGGTCATAGAGTTGTTGCAAGTTATCCCAGCGGACTCACAATCATCTGATGAGGTAGACTGATACAGCGGGCAGTTGCACCAACAAAAAACCTCATAGTAGTATAGAAAATGTTCAGTCCTGAAAACAGACGCAATATTTGCAAAAGTCTCTTGTGAAAGTTTAGGTGGTTGATATCTGCTAATATATGTTTGTATATTATGAATGTGCACACTTTCATTTTGAGTTGTTTTAAAACAGCTAAAATCATCTAGATGGAGGACTGGGGTGTTGTCTGACTGGATGTTAGCCTTCCACTTCTACGAGCATTGCTAACTTTTCACTGTTGGTTATATGCAAAAGAAGTGCAAAAACTGATACTGATTACTCCATCCAACTGCTCTGTATCTTAAATAAATTATAAAATTGTGTTCTTAATTTCCGTGTTATTTTAGTGGCTACTTAACCATGGTGATCTGTAACTAGCCAAAGGATGGACTGCTCTTTCAACCAAACAACAGTGCCTGAAGATAAATAAGAACCATTCCATGCACAAAGTCACCCGGAGAGAGATTTTTGCTCCAGCTTTTTTATGTTCACTGATGAGATCCAAGGCAGTAATACCACCGCGGATCAGAAAGATAATGATCACTGCATGACTCTGTATGATGTGAACTTGCGCTGACTCTGGTCAAACAGCCTTGAGTTAACTGCACCCTCCAAAGAGACGGGGATGAACTTCACACACACTTTGTTTGGCTTGTCTTAATCGTGGCTTCACATAAGCCATGCAGATTTCTGTTACACAAACAGATTACCGTGCCAGTTACCTCATCTGTGCTCCTGGCATGCTAAGAGTAATATTGCTGTGAGGAGACGTGGCCGCCTTCCAGTTTCATCTTGATGCATTAACCGGATCCAAACGGGGGGAAAAAAAAATAAATAATTTGCATCCATGATGGATAGTAAAAGATAAGGATGTTATCATCTCATTTTCGAAGAATTGAAACATCCTAATGTGTTTTGCCACCATATAAGCATCCTGATTATGCATTTTGTCAATGTGATTGAAATTATACTGTGGCACACATGAAGACTGATCACCTCTGCAGATGTGACGTGCACCTAGAAAGGGCCATTGATCTTGGATCTCAGCACATTTCAAACACACAATGTGTTACCCAAAGCAAACAATGTAAAATAGTCCCATTAAGGAGTAATGAATCCATCAGGGAGAAATGGATTTGTCTTGAGGGTGAATTTAATGTGTGTGTGTGCATGTGGGTTTCGTTAGTATGAAGACACTTGAAGCTTGGCTTGGTGATTCGCATCATTCACCTGGTACCCGCTTTGCACCGTACCCGCTTTACACCACGTAATCAAAGCAGGCTTTGCTGCAGCTGCAAACAGGTGACCAGAGCTAAGTTTGCTCTCTTGAGAAGCAGGCGTAACGCAAAGTTGCTTTGAAAAGCTCTGGCGGCGTTACCTCGTCAAAAATGTAAACAGCCACCTTAATTTTCAAGGGACCTTGCTTATATCTGACAAGTGTGTTGTCACCAGCATGCACAGCAGATACATTCTGCATCATGCATATTCATGGCATTGATTGGTATGTTGAGGGCTACTTCACTTTTCTTTAATTAGAGTGGAAAAGCATGGCACAAAGGGGGAATGAAGAGGAAATTCAGGGACAGATAGAAATCATTGGCTTTTGTGCTATGATTTCTCGCTCTGAATGGTGAAAGAGTTTTCTCAGTTTAATCACTGCTCCTGTGAATGGAAACAGGTCCCAGGCGGAGGATGCTGCCAACACAGCTTCTTTCTATGAATAGCCGAGCAGACCTATATTATTGAAATGCTCCGCGCGACATTTGATTCGTCGCACTTTTTACATATACGGCTGCCACTTTCCTTTCATTGTGTGCGTCTCCGCCGCGATGTACCATTGCTCTTTTACCGCTGCATGCGTGGCGTGTTTAGGTAGGCAGGAGTGATAAAAAAGGACAGCTGTGGAGTGCTTTATTTTGAAAAAGTGTCATCTGTCTCAATAGAAGGCACTCAGCCCCCTGTCTGTAACGTATTGGTGATTTTAGAAAACCTTTCTTCTCTAGGCTGGCGGCTATTTTTCTTCACACAAATCCTTCCCTTTTTTAACTATCCTTATTTTCCTTCTCAATCACTCTCTTCTGGAGGAGAAAATGGTTGTGGAGAGGGCCAAGAAAGCTTATTCTTGTCCACGAGTTTTAAGCTATCCACAGATGTTTTATTAAAGGCTGATCTACTGTAGTTCCCTTAAGGGTGAAGACTCAATGTTCTCATTTTTTTCCTCTTTTTTTGTTCGTTCATCTTACCTTCCCTGCTGTGGAAATGAGATTTCATCTTGATCATTTTGTCTTGTTAAATCAATAAAAGCTGAAGAGGATAAACATCTCTGCTCTACTCTGAGCCTATATAAAATTACACTCGCTCTCTGTCTCTGTCTCTTTCTCTCTATATCCCCCTCCCTCTCTCTTTCCATTCTATCTCAAACAATCATAAGTACTCTCCCCGTCTGCATCTTCTTCCTCCAAAGGAGACTTGATGGCTGCAGGACTATTGTTTACAGCCACCTCTCAGTCTTCCCCTGGGGCCTAATAAGGACACGAAGAAAGAATAGGATGGCTTTACTGGGGCTCTGTCAGTCTCTGAGGTTTAATCACACACCACATCTCTGAAAGAGGACTATTTGCTAAAGGTCAAAGGGTAGAAAACCCTCAATCTCTATTGCAGCTCATATTTAATCATTCATAACCATGCAGAATATTTTGTCTTTGAGATTGGCCACAGCCGAATATTGAGTCATTGTGCCTTGAATTGCAATTACATCCAGTGGTTACAATGTGGAGGAGTGCGAGGCAAATTGAAAAGCTCTAAAATGAAAAGGCTGTATTGATAGAATAATGGTAGGGACCGAGTACAGATATAAATGGATAAATGTTTTGGGCGAATTTAATAATCAAGGTGAACATATTCTTCTTCTTCAAAAGGTCGGCATACCATATGAGGATTTCAGCAAGGTCATGAATACTTTCTGTATAAAGCCAGGATGGATGGGCCATCAGGTTACAAAATAACAGCGCACTAGTCCCTTTGCTTCAAATTAAGCAATTAGCACAATTACGCATGAGATGCGATGCAATTAGGTGGAGGCCAGCTACTTTTCAACATGTCATTTAGCAGCCTGAAATTCAGCAGCCTGCATTTAGGTACGTCTGACCAGTCTCTGTGCCTGCTGAAGAAAAGCATGATGCACCACCACCAATCACCATTTCAGTGTGGAGATGGTGTGTTCAGGTTGATGTGCAACATACATTTTCGACCACATACAGGTCTCTTCACGCACGTGAAATTCTTTTTGATCCTATCTGACGACAGCACCATCGCCTACGTGTTTCTTGCGTCCCCTACATGATTTGTGTCAAACAGCAAACAAGATCTCTTCTAGTTCATCTTTTATCAATGACATTTTCCTGCCACTCTCTTCTTGTACAGGCTTGTTCATTCACATGTTCATTCATTAATGACTGCCTTGTTGACAGAATCTAACACCTGAACCTTGTATTGCTGAATAGCCCTGTCACAATAACATATTTTGTCCGAGAAGTTATTGTGATAAATGATGATATTACTGTTTTGAGACCATTTTCAAGTAAATAGAGTTTAGAGTTGTATTTGAAACGTAATCAATTACGAATTTAATGATGGCATTTGACTTAATGTAATTGTTGATTGATGTTGCATGACTTTGTGTTTTTGTATTTGTTATGATGGAAAGCACTTTGAAATGCCTAGCTGCTGAAATGTGCTATACAAATACAATTTGATTTATTGATTGAAGTAGCATAATGGTAATGGAACAATAATTCAAGGACACACTCTCAAACATCAATAAATTTTAAATTCTACTACACATTGAACACTGGAACTGGAAGACATTTCAATTGTCCAAATATATAAACAAAACAACAGACACAACAATAAATAAATAAATAAATAAATAAATAAATAAATAAATAATAAATAAATAAATAAATAAATAAATAAATAAGTAAATAAATAATGAAGTCTTGGTAAACAAAACTGAAAAATATGCACCAGACTGAAAACTATTGTCATCCACTTTTTGGTAGAAAGAGAGAAAAGAGAAAAAAAATATATTGAGCTTGATTGTTGCCAGAATCTAACACCTGATCTTTATATTGGCAAAGTGTTCCCAATAACAAATGGTGACAAACATGACCTGTTGCTTGTTGCAACAGGTCATGTTTGTCACCATTTGCTTGTTGCAACAGGTCATGTTATGCTTTTGAAAAACAAACAAACAAAAAAAGATAGCTACATGTCAAGAATGCAGTGTCCAAATGTTAATGTTTCATTTCAGAGTCTTATTAGTTGAAATATAACAACAAATGATACCTAAGTGCAGGGTAATATGCTAAAAAGTAAAGGCATGCAAATCTTTACCAGAGAGGTCTCTGCCAACTCCCAGAGCCAGTCCATCTTTGATCCACAGGACGATGCCGTGGTATCCGGGGATGGTGCATTCTAACGTCACCGGCTGGCCCGCCACTGCCACCACGTCCTGGGGCTGCTGGGAAAACATGGCCTCCACCCCTTGACAGAAAAAAAGAAGGGAGAGGTTAGATCCGATTAGCTTGTCGTTTTAAGCTAATCGAGACATGAGGGCAGAGAAAGTTCAAAAACTAGGAGAACAAGTGATGTCTTCAATCTTTCAAATGATGAATGAAAGAGACAAATTTAACAAAAGTGCACAGTGTTCCCATTTCAACCAATTTCAGTCAAACCTCTTGTCAAATGCATATTGCAGGGAACGCTAAAGGGTGCCTTACAAATGTGGCCCATCATTTCACTATTCATGATACAAAGACAAGTTCCTGCAATCACGCAGGAGTGGAGCAGTAGGATTAAAGCGCAGGCTAAGAGACAGCTATCATAGCTCAGCTTGGTTCATTTATGCAGGATGTCACCGTGCAGATGGGCTGGGCCCGTACACACCACAGCGGATAACACAGTCTTGTCTGCCAACGCCGCTTCACCAGCATACATTAACTCGAGCTCACACCCATGTATTCCAACTGTGCAGCTGCTATTAACTGTACCGCTCCGCAGCGTGTTCAGGCAGAAAGCACTGCGGAGTTAACTCCATTAGAGGTGTGTTAATGGGGAACGGGGTACAGAAACAGTAAAGGGTTGCTTGGCGTACACGTGGTAGCAGAGTGTGTGTAAGTGTGTTTATGCATGAGTGTGCGGGGAGGTGGGAAGTGGGGAGTCAGACTAAAGAGACACAGGAATACAGAGGAGTACTGATTTCTACTTTAGAATTCTGCCTATCAACTGAAGCACACGTACGATGACATGCATTCACCCAGACACTTAAAGGGCATATTTTCTATCCAAAGTTGTTTAGCGAGTCCCACTAGTTTATAACCAGGACCTTTGGGAGTGTTCAGCTCTGCAAAGGAAATTCTAAAATCGTGCCGACCTACAAATAGCAAAATAGCCTTTTTCCTTTAAAATTCTAACCAAAACATGTGGATGCGGTGCAAATTAGCACAATGCTGCAAAGCAAGGACAACCTCATGTTGCTTTTGTGCATCAATGTGTGAGTATGACTGGCTCTGTTATTTAAAATGTGCTTTTAATCTGATGAGCTTTAAAAGGTAAAGTCTTTTTGCTGTGATTGTCGCATTCTTTGTCTCATTGAGGGGGAGGGACAAAAACACAGACACTTGTATTGTACTCCAACTATTATGTCAGTGCAAAGAATGTGAGGACTGGCATCTTCCAAAGAGTCTTTGTAAACATATCTTTTGTTTTTTAGTTTGTCCTTTCAGAATGTCAGATCACAGAACAATTTCCATTGTAACACAGACACACACACACGCACATTATATATATATATATATAA